GTCGCCCTGGGTAGAGGGTCATGGCATCACAGCTCACAGCAACCTCCAACTCCTGGGCTCAAGCAAGTCTCCTGTGTCCACCTCCCAAGTAGCTGGGAACACAGGCACCCACCACAATGCCTGACTATTTTTTGCTTGCAGCCATCATTGTTGTTTGGCGGGCCTGGGCTGGATTCAAACCTGCCATCTCAGGTGTATGTGGCTGGCGCCTTAGCTGCTTGAGCTACAGGCACGGAGCCATCCTGGCTAGTTTTTTATTGCAGTTTGGCCGGGGCCAGGTTTGAACCCGCCACCCTTGGTATATGGGGCCAGTGCCCTACCCACTGAGCCACAGGCACCACCCATCTAACCTAGTTTTCTAATCTTCTTCAATCTCCTCCCAGGATTTTTACCCTCCTTCCCTGGCTCCTTCTCCTCAAGCCCTCTTTCCTCAACCAACAGTGAGTTTCAGCAGGTACAAAGCCTATAGCTGTGGTCAGTAAAGTCATCTATGCCTCCCCTTACCCTACAAGGGACAGACCTTTTACACTGCAGTCCTTCCACACACACCCCAAAACCAAAGCCCCCAAGCCAAACTGGTATTTTGTTCAGGGTGGCTATGAAATTAATATTTCTGAGTTAATGGCTCACAGTAGGAAAAAACAAACCCCCTCTGCTTTGCTTTCAATTCTTGACCTTCAGGACTCCCAGTGATAGGCCCTCTGTTTCCCTTGTACCACCAGCACATGTGCTCTGTGACAATGGGAACAAGTGATCCTCTCCATACACTCCTGAAAGCTTCTTCCCCAGTGACTAGTCCCTCATACTTAACAGGACTAGCAGGGGAGATCATATGTGCTCATGGATATAAGCACATTTTTAAAAAGACTACATATGAGGCATTACCATACCTTTGTTGGGAGGGTATTTCGGCTTTTTTCCACCACCAACTAACGCTAAATAGTTGCAGCGAAATAACATTTCAACATGACCAACTCCTCCTTCTAGAAATTCTGAAACGACAATTTCAAAAAGACAATTTAAAAGTTAATTATATAATTTACTATGAAAAAAGAAGACAAAGTCAAGACATGTGCAGCATTTCTCTTTATTTTGTATAGCGATGGGGTCTCACTATGTTGCCCAGGCTGGGGTACAGTGGCTGTTCTCAGGTGTGATCACAGTGCACACGCTACCGACCCCAACTCCTGGGATCCAACGGTACCCCTGCCTTAGTCTCCTGAGTGGCTGGGACTACAAGTGTGCACCACCATGCCAGGATCATTTTTTTTTTTTTTTTTGAGATGGAGCTTCAAGCTATCCCCTGGGTAGAGTGCTGTGGCATCACGCCTCACAGCTACCTCAAACTCTTGGGCTTAAACGATTCTCTTGCCTCAGCCTCCCAAGTAGCTGGGACTACAGGCACCCACCACAACGCCTGGGGGCATTTTTTTTTTTTTGGTTGCAGCCATCATCATTGTTGTTTGGCGGGCCTGGGCTGGGGATTCGAACCCACCACCTTAGGTGTATGTGGCTGGCGCCTTAGCCTCTTGAGCCACAGGCGCCGAGCCGCCAGGATCATTTTTAATCAACAATTGTATCCAATTACCATCAGAAATGAGAACAGTAACCAGCTAAGAGAAATAGTTAGCAACACACTCTAGACACCTCAACACACTATCATGAGCCACATTTCATAAATGCTGAGCACACAGCACCCTAAGATGCCAATTCAGCAAAATGTATGCAATACCTAAATTCATATTTTAAGATGTAGCAAAATCAGGCAGCGCCTGTGGCTCAAAGGAATAGGCCACTGACCCCATATGCCAGAGGTGGCAGGTTCAAACCCAGCCCCGGCTAGAAAAAAAAAAAAAAAGATGTAGCAAAATCCAGTGGCTTGCACCTGTAATCCCAACACTCTGGGAAGCTGAGGCAGGCAGACTGCCCTGAGCTCTCAGGTTCCAGACCAGACTGAGCAAGAGTGAGACTTCATCTCTAAAAATAGCTGGGCGTTGTGGTGGGGCGCCTGTAGTCCCAGCTACTCAAGAGGCTGAGGGAAGAGAATTGCTTAAGCCCAAGAGTTGGAGGTTGCTGTGAGCTATGATGCCACAGCATTCTACAGAGGGTGACAAAGTAAGACCCTGTCCCCCCCCCCAAAAAAAAAACAAAAACAAAAAAACACAGCCTTCTTGCAAAGGCTGAGTTTCTTTCACTTTAAATACACCTTCCACTAAAATTTGAAATGATCAACAAATTCTCCCTGACAAAACACCCCCAGTGTGTTCTCAGTGGGACCACACAGAACACTGATGAAATCCCAAATACAGGTCACATGCCACAGCACACCCGCACCCCCTCCCCCCTCAACCTCTGAAATTAAGACATTAACCTAAGAATGGCAGCACTCCCCAGTCACAAATGCACAAAATAACTCAAAGTTCCTTAGCTTGCTTTGTGAGACATTTAAAATACAAGGCCTAGTAGCAACCCTTGAAAGGAATGGTTAATATGTATGTGTTATCAACAATGAAAATAGCTTTTCTTACAGACAATCTAATAGCTCTTTTATACTTAGGCTTTCTCAAGGCATTATAATTAAGGCTTTAATAGTACACTGCAGGGTCCAAATCCACTGTGGCTCACCTTTCATGAGGCTGCTCCCTGGGCTGGGTGTGTGGCCTCTAATCTGTCAAAGTTCACAGTTTCTCTGTCCTACAGAAACTGATTACCTTTGGCTCCATAAACTCACTCACAATGCAATAGGAAATCTTTAACCTTAACACTCTTGAAGACATGAACGGATTATAATAGGTCAGAGCAGGGAAACAGGATATCCACACACAAAGAACATTGGGGTCCAGGTACGGTAGCTCACGCCTGTAATCCCCCACTCTGGATCACCTGAGCTTAGGAGTTTGAGGCAAGCCTGAGCAAGAGCAGAGTTCTCATCTCTACTAAAAATAGAAAAATTAGCCAGGTGTTGTGGTGGGCGCCTGTAGTCCCAGGTACTCAGGAGGCTGAGGCAGGAGGATCGCTTCAGCCCAGGTGTTTGAGGTTGCTGTGAGCTATGATGATGCTATAGCACTCTACCCAGGGTAAGAGGGTAAGAACATGTCTCTCCCCTCCCCCGCCAAAAAAAAAAAGAAAAAGAAAAAGATATGCCCAAAGACGTCATTATGCACATCTCTAAAAATCACTGTGGCCTGGGCCTGTAATAGCAGAATGGAACTGCAGAAACAGCCTGAGTCGGACACAAACTAGCCTCCCATTAAACATCAACTGATGAGAACCTGCGGCACATACCTCCCAGTGCCTGCCTGATCCAAACTCTACCAACAGAACCTACCTCAAAAGACAAACTAAAAATGGGGTGCCTGAATATTGGTATAACTTCCATTCCACTAAGAGATGCTTGAAAACTAATCATTTTATACAAATGGGTAAAACTCAACCATTCCAGCATTTGAGGGTAATAATAATGCAACTACCAGTTCCCTACCGTTTGGCTTTTCCCAAAATCCCTGACTCCTTTCCTATTTTTGTAGTTTGGAAATATCTTAGATAATTCTCATTATAAAATTATGTATCAAATCAAAATAAAACAACACAGAAAAGCATAAAGAAGAAAGCAACCATAAACAACATTATGTATGTACATCCAAACTCTGGACATATGAGGTCTGACAATGAAGTTTGCAAACTTATCCTAGAAAAAAATGCTACATACCTCATTGCTGAGTATCACTATGGTCACCACAGAAGCTATGCACTGACGCCAGCACTTGATCCACCCTTCAAAGCAATTTTGGAACTCTTTTTGGAATGGCCATCAGAGCTGTCATAGTATTACCCTTGATGTCATGAGTGTCATCAAAATGACTTACTTTCAATATTTCCTTTATCTTCAAGTAAAGAAAAAAAGCATTGGGGGTCAGATCAGGGTGAACAGGGAGGGTATTCCAATACAATTGTTTACTGGCTAAAAAGTCCCTCACAGACAGTGCTTTGAGAACTGGTACACTGTCATGATGCCAAGAGCCAGGAGCTGGAGAAAAGTTTATGCAGTCTTTTCGTTTCTTTTTTTTTTTT